ACATTTACTGTGTGTTAAGGATGCCTTAGAGGATGGCAATGAAGCTGCCCTTCTAGTTTGGAAGGGACAAACCAGAGGGTGACAGGCATCAAATAAAAATAAAAGTGAATTTTATAGAGCCTTCATAAGTGGACCAGGAGCTGACAGCTCACTCCCGTAATCATGGATGACTGAGATCGGAAGGATCATGGTTCCAGGCCAGCCTGGGAAGAAGCAAAGTTCATGAGACGCCATCTCAATGGAAAAACTGAGGATGGTGGCACATGCCTACAGTGGAAAGTCTAAAATAGGATCAGGTCCAGGCTGGCCTGATAAGAAGGGAGATCCCATCTCCAAAATAACCAGAACAGAAAGGACTGGAAGCATGGCTCAAGCAGTAGAGCACCTGCCTAGCAAATGCAAAGCCTGAGTTCAAACCCCAGTATAAGGCCAGGCAGTACACAAGAGACAGGGGTGCGATTTTAACCTTGACAATGGGGTGCCTCACTGAGTGGACAACAACTGAGCAAAGATGGGTAGACAGAGCCACAAGACCATCTAAAAATGTCCCAGGTTGAGGACCATTGAGAGGCCATGGCACTAGGGCATAGCAAGGAAGCCCGTTCAGCCAGAATGGAGTGGGAGGGAGAAGGTGGTCCAGAAGGGAGGCCAAAGAGAGCACAAGGTCACTTCCTGGGGACTCGTTGGCCTGTCTAGGAAATTGGGCCTTGGATCTAAGCTGGGAAGTCTTGGAAGGATGCCAAGCAGGATGGAAACGCGTAGAATTCAGTAGCAGTGATGCAGGCTGGAGTGACCCACTTCACGGAATGACATATTGTATTCTGCGTCTACTTTGAAGGTCAAGCTAATCAGATTTCCTGCTATGTTAGATGAGGCATGCAGAGAAAGAGGAGGTGGTGATGACTCTGAGGTTTGGGGCTTGAGCAACTGGAAGATGAAATGGTCGTAAACTGACCCGGGGTAGGAAGTTGCGTGTACGATGCACAACGATAAAGGGGAAATAAAAGAAGTTGAGTGGAGAAATTTAGGAGTAGATCAGAAAGCAATTTGGGGTTGTGTTGAGATAACTTTTAAACAAGCAGATGGAGATTTCTATATGAGTCTGAAGTTCAGGGGATGGTCTCATTTGGGAACATATAAATAATATTTAATTATAAGGTTAGGATGAGTATGGATAGAGAGGGAAGAAATCCAAGGACTGTGCTTTGAGACATGTCGATGTGAAGATGACTTGGAGGACGTGTAGCTCAGTGGTAGAACACTCGCCTAGCATGCACAGGCCCTGAGTTCAATCCCCACACTGCAGAAAAGATTCCCTGGAGATGAGAAAGGACAGCAAAGGAGGCCAGAAGGGGTGGCCAGTGGGCAGGAAGGAAGGAGTGTGGCGTCCTGGAATTTAGGTAAAGGAACTATGGATGGTCTAGTGTCTCCAGTGCTATTAACAGCTTAGAACTGGAGTAAGACAAAATCATTTCAGAGAAGGGGGTTCATGACTGTTGTAGGGTAAAAGAAGGCAGAAAGGAATTAGAAACAGCAAGTACAAACCATCTTGAGGAACGAAGAAAGAGACCGTACAGAATAAAGAGGAAAGTGGAGGAAGCTGGAGGACAAAGGAGTCCAGAGAACAGTTTTCAATGGAAATACTAGCACTAATTCAGGAGAAGAGAATACTTCCATGAGGAAAGGAAGAATTGCTGAAGGGATGTCTTCGAGTAGGTGAGAAAGGGTGGGCTATAGGGCAGGCCAGCTTATCATTTTAAGGGAGGGGTCAGATCATAGACACTTGGGTAGCAGGCAGATGTGGGGAGAGGGCCCTAGCAGACTTTTCATGATTGCCTCATTTTTCTCAAAGCAACAAGGGGGAAAGTCATTGGCTGAGAGTGAGGTGGGAACTAAATTCTCATTGGTTGGAAGAGCAATTGGAAAGCAGTTGTGTTGAGATATGAATAGAGCAACATGGCAGCCTGTGAGTCTGATAGTCCCTCAGACAGCATCACCAGTCACCACAGTCACCATCACTGTTAGCACATCAGTGGATCTTCCTGATTTTTGCCTCTTCCATTTTTTTCCACCTAGTAGTTAATACCCAGGGTAATGACAGCCTAATAAACATTAATTAATTCCCAAACTGGTATCACAACTATATTCAGTCTTTTACAGCTGACACTATAACGCACTTGCCATTCTCAGAACCATTTCTTATACTTGCTCATAGTGACTACGTGTACTGTATTTGGAACCATGATGGGATGGGGTCACCAAGAGGGTGAGGAGTAGGTAGGTGAAGAAACACAAGGTCCCACAACTTGCTTGAGGTTGGCCAGCCATTAGGGGACAATGCAGAGATGTGACTTTCGGCCAGTGTGGGCCAACCATGTGGCCACAGCTCCAATATCTATCTGTCCTCCCCACCTTCTTTACCTTTACTGACTGTGGAGCCCTGGTTTGCTGAGGCTCTCGCCTGCACTGGCATAGCCATCCACAAGAGGGGGGTCATGCACACAGAAGCATGCCTGCCCCACCCACGGGCTCTGTAACTCAGACACCAGCTGTGTCCCTTGGTACCCAGGCTTTCGCCCTGAAGCCACTGGCGCCTGGTTCCTCAAGAATGTTTACTTCAGCTGTGGTTCTCTCACAGGTGGCATTTGGAAACATGTGGAGATGTTTGGAGTTGTCATAACTGGTGCCTAGAGGTGACAAATAATCCTAAGCATCCTTAAGTGCATAGGCTAGCCACCACACCCAACGAAGAAGCATCTGGTCCAAAATACCAATCACCGTATTGACAGATGGAGTAATCCAACCCTAAGTGAAAGCCTGTGAACAGCCCGGCAGAGCTGTTGCGGACGAACAAAGAGAAAATGCGCCCAACACACGTGACCAAAGCCAACAGCAATCTGTCAGAAATAGCTTCTGGGTTCCGCCTCTTTGGGGAATGTCAAGGGTCTTGAGAGCTAAGTGGATCCCGACTTATCATTCAGCTGTTCCATTAGCTGACTGTGGCCTGTGGTACACCAAGCGGGGGTGTGTGTGAACCCATGTCACATATTCTCAGGATAGCCGAGAGAAGAGGTGGTTCCCTCCAGGCAACCACAGCCTTCACAGTGACATATTGTCTGTCTAGAAGATGATCAGTCCTGCTCTGTGAACACAGCATTTGTGATGTGGGAGACCTGGGCTCGCAAAATTGTTCCCGGTCCCCGAGCACTTGACACAGTCCAGGAAGTAGCTGTCCACATCCACTGGCCTGACCTACCTAAACATGCATTCCAGCTGTCAGGGGCTGTCTCCTTGCACTTGGGAATGCTTTTCTGAAACACATCCACTTTGGAAAAGCACAGGCATTTACCGGTGGCTTACGTGAAGCAGATTGCCTTCCACGCCACGATGAGCCCAGCATCCAGCAGAATATGGACTTTGCTCTGTAAATGAAGCCGCGCCACCATTTCTTACAATGCAACTTCTGTTTAGCTGAACATACAATAGTGGAGTGAAGACCAGCTGGAGTCTGGGAATAAGCTTTGCTCTTCTCCCCTTTCCTTTGTGCACAGACTATTGTGAACGTCTAAAGATGCGTGACTTATAATTACTTATAAAGTCAATTTATAGCTATGACAAGAAATATGCAACCATTTTTCAGTGATGCTCATGTCGTAGGTTTCACCAAAGGTCAGAGCACCCAGCTTCTTCCTCACAGTAGTATATTCAGTGTACAAAGTGGCAGGGCATCCAGAAATCAAATGCAACCGCAAAGCTGGGATTGGGGTTGACCAAAGTCTGCAGAGCTAATTCCAGGGCTTCTGTAGAGAAGGAGAGCAGGTATAGGCACTTGAATAGTAAAATATTATTAGTTGGTCCCATTTTAATATAGTACTGTTCCCCTAAAGTTTAACAATAATAAAATTGCTATCACCCATGGAGTGATATTTCTGTGGGTTAGTCCCGACACCAAGCACCATCCAGGAAATCTCACTTTGTGCTCCAGCTACCATCAGGAGACAAGCAGTCTAGAAAAGGATGCTAAAACTCCAAGAAGCTTAATCACATGTCCCCAGCTTCCAGGAAGGGGTCAAACCAAAATTTGAACCTAGGAAGGTAGATGTTTTAAACACGTTAGAAGAGTTTGTTCCTGAAGTCGGAAGTGAATCCCCTGGAGAAAGCTAAAATCCTTGTCTCTTCCATAAAGTCTGAATCATTGGTGAAGTGGGTTTCTGTGACATGGTCTCAATGGCTTTGTGTGTTTTCATCAATACCATCGGTTTGCATTACAATGTAGAGTCCAAGTTGCTCTTCCATTAATTATGGGCAGAGAGATCCAAGTCACTTGGCTTTTTCAAACCTAGATTTTCACATCTTCAAAGTAGAATGAGTTTTAGAGTATGTGTTAGTCAGCCTTTTCATCACTGTGACAAAATACCTGATACCAACAACTTAGGGAGGAAAGTTTTTCTGGCTTACGATTTCAGAGATTTATGGTCCTTGGCTCCATTGACTCTGAGCCCTTGGCAAGACAGAACATCAAGGTGGTGGGAGCAAATGGCAAAGACTACTCACCTCACGGCAGACAGGAAGCAGAGAAGGAGGAAAGGACAGGTTTAACCTTCAAAGGCATGCTCCCGGTGACCTACTTCCTGAAAACAGACCCCAGCTCTGAAAGTTTCCACCCACACCCCCAAAACAGCACTCCCAGCTGGGGACACGCATCAACACATAGGCCAGGGAGGAGTATTTCATAATCAAACCATAACAACATAGATGTCACGTGTCTCTCAGATTGCCTGCTAGTCAGTCACCATAATTACCACTGCTGACATTATTTAAATGTGTTCTCAAATTTTAGGTTTGCTATGAAGATTTAAAATTCTGTCGGGTACAAACTTGACTCTGACATCTATGTTTTGGGTATTCCCAAAGACCAAGCATGAAGAAATGTGGCTGTCGATTCATCTTCCGTGCTTGGGAACACATGGTGTGAGGCGTGCCTGTGTTTTAAACCGTAGGTGCTGCCCGGGTTATGGAAAATGGCCAAGTGGAATACGAGCCTATCTCCGGCATTCGGTACCTGTGGTGGTACCATTTAATCGGCCTCCTCTGGACGAGTGAATTCATCCTTGCGTGCCAGCAAATGACTGTTGCTGGAGCTGTGGTGTCTTGTTATTTCAACAGGTAGGTCCATCCTTTCCTCCTAGTGGATTTTCTAAGTACCTCGAGCTGTGGACTGCAGAAGGGACCTCAGAGCTTTGATGTGACTCTTTTACAAAATTAAAAGACTAAGCTAAAAACTGGACTGGATGCTCATTTGGTGGTGAAAAGAAATGCTAAATCTTAAATTTTCCAGGCTTTTTTGCTTTAAGCTAGGAAGTTTAGAAAGAACCCAAGCAAGGAATGTACATTCCTCAGAATTGAAAAATATCTCAAAGCAAAGGTTGAATTGAATTCCATAAATAGCCAATCTTCTTGACTTCAGATTTTTTTGATGATAGGTCTATTTTGAACGTACTTCAGTAAGTGCTGTGAATCTTGTTTTTTTTTTTTTTTTCATGTGGAAAATCAGGAGAATGTTTGCTAAGAAAATAACTTTAAACACTAAAGGAACCATGCGTAACTATAATTCATGTCTATAGCGTTACATGTTAGTGAATTAATGCTTCAGTGTTTGTAAGTCATTACCCCGTGGAAATAATTGAGGACACACACTCACACGCACACACACCTGAACCCTTTGCCTGTCTTGTGTGTGACTCTCCATGGGACAATGAGACTATTAGCCAGAGAGCAGGCCGAGGAAAATGACAGGGTTGGACCCCAACCCCAAACAGGAAGTTTACTTCCAGATAGGGCCGATCTTCCTCTAATCTCAGACCAAATGAGCAGATAAACATGAGCTTTCATGGGGTAAGAAAGTCAACCAGGCATGACTCATGCCATGGAGCAGTTGTCTCCTGACAATAAACAGCTCTGTGGGTTTTTAATATAGTGGTGCCATCTGAGAGCTCCATCATTAGGGACTCTGGGGAACTCACAAAGGGGCTCTTGTCCTTGGCATTAAAAACCTCCCAGCTGGGGCGGGGTGATGTTAAAGGGGGAAGGGAGGGTGTTACTTGCTCCTGAGTAGGGAGCAAAGATTGTTCTAGCTAAATTGGCCAGCAGGTAACGTTTGTGTGACAGAGTGATTTTGTGTTATCTTAGAATAACAGAACCAAAGCATTTTCAACAGGGTTTTGATGTGACATTCCAGTAAGGCACAGCATTGTCCTCCCCATCCCTCCCCTCTCCACCCACCCTCAATCATGAAAGAATGAAAAGGGGCAAGCACACTGTGACCGTGTTCCTTATCTGCTGTCATTGGAAAGACAACAGATAAAGAACTTCAACCAAACTCGAGAGCTGAGGACAGGCTGTCCATGTCCACTGGCCATGCCGTGAAACCTGCAAAGCCTGTCTGTGCCTGTGTGCTGGCTGTCAGGAGGGCAAATGAGATGCCGATTGAGCTGAGCCACCAAAACCCAGAGAGCCTCAGGAATTCAAGTCTGAAATGAGGAGCCGCTGAGACCGTTGCTCTCTGGAGATATAAACCAGACATAAGGAAGGGAAAGGAAATAAATGAAAGTCTAACCACTGAATAGTAAGGACCCCGACCACTACGCTCTCACAACTACCCTCCCCAATTCCACAGCTCAGCTCCTAGGAAGCTGGCAGCCATGCTGATTCCCTGAAAGTAGGGTAGAGGATCCTTCTGAAGAGAAACTGGCTAACCCAAGTAAAGGCCTACAGACAGTCCACACAGAGTCTTCCTTCCAGTGAAATGAATCCCTGACTTCTAACCCAACAGCATAGCTCACCAGGCAATAAGCAACGCCATTCCCACAGAGCATCCAAGTCTCTCTTAAATTGGAGCTATCGACCAGCAATTATTAAACACTTGAAGAAAAGCATCGTGGAAAAAAAGAGATGAAAATAAACACAATATGGGCTGCAAAAGGAAGCAACAACCACAAAAACCCTACAATATTATCAAAGAAAACAGAAATATTGACCCATAAACTTTGATTCCCCCACACGGAACAATGAGTGAATAAGAAAGAACCCTTAATAATTAAAAATTGCAAAGGTGAATCTTTTCTATTGAATGATTAGACTGTAACCTCAAAAGAACTCTTCCAGAAGGTAGGGGTTAAAAAAAGGCACAGTAATGGAAAAGAAGGCAGAAAAGATAAAACACTGGAGTTATTTAAGCAACCTGCCACCTGACTGAGAGCAGTTCTATAAACAAAGAACAAAAAGATTTTTTTCTAAGGAAGAAATTATGAAAGGAAAACATTCAGAGCTAGGACATGAGTAAGGAAAAGATCTCGGGATAGAAGGGGGAGAGCTCAAGTAAAAAAAGAAGGATCAGAGAGAGGGAGAAGCATCAAAATGGACTCGGGCTTTCAGCAGTAAGACCAGCTTCACCCAGGAAGACATCAGAGCACGGCTGTGAAAATGCTGAGGAAGGAGGACTCCCAACTAGAACTTCCACTGTCAGTCAACAGTAAAGGAAACAAAGTCATGCTCAGATACACGAAGGCCCAAAGGATTTCCCTCCCCACACCTTCTCCCCTAGACTTGTAAGTGAACCAGGACAGAAAACATGAGTTTCAGAAAATGGGCCATGGCAAAGAAGGGAATTTCCAAGAATGTCGCCATATTACAGTTGTAAAACACCCAGTCCAAGATGGAGCAGGAGGTCTGTCTCCAAGAAAAGACAGTGAGAGAAAAGATTACACCTTCATGAAGCATTCAGCGAAGCCCATGAAACACAAAGCAAAAAAAAGAAAACCAATACAATTATTAACTCCAGGACAATCCCAAAGTTGTGCAGGAAAGGAGATGTAGTTGAAATACACTTGGATTGTTAACTGCAGTGGTGCAGTCTGTGAGCAGAATACTTCAAATTCTCTGTTTCCCCGTAGAAGAATCCATGGCAGGACACGTGGGTGTAATGGGGTTTATTAAAAGCTAGAGAGGGGAATTACAAAAGGGGACATGGTGGGTCAGGTGGAAGCTGTAAGCAGAGAGTCTTTCTCTTTTTCCAAGTGCCTTTAAAACGTACACCCACCTAGGGGAAGGGAAGAACGTGGGGATTCCCCACAGTAACTGATGAGTGGGGAGGGCCTGGGTGGTCCCAGAGTCAGGTGAAGGTGGTTTGAGTTGTCTCTGAGCTCGGGTGTGAGTAACCTGCACACATTTGCAATTGGAAAGAAGGCTCAGAGAAAGAGAGGAGTGCTCAATCTGAAATGCAATATTAAGTCATATTTGCTCTAAGAGTCCCGATTCCTAATTCTTGCCTGCCTCAGGATCAGTTGTGAATATTATTCACCAGACATATTGTTTATGCACGAACACTAAAAATCTCAATATCATTGAGAAGGGGTGATAAAAATGAATGTACTGGGGAGTGGTTTAGGCTGAATAACAAAATGAAACTTCCATAAGGGGAAGTTGCAGACAGTATCTGAAGCTTCAAAAGTCAAGAGGGAGTGTGCACTTGCTGGCATGCACGAGGCCCTGAGTTCAATCCTCAGCACCATGGAAAAGAAAAGAAAAGTCAAGTCAAGAAATAGCAGTAAGGACGTGCAGGTATAAAGTGTGGCGGGGAGGTCCAGAGGCAGCCACCAAGCTAGTGTCTCTCGGAGGGAAAATTAGGGGTGCAGGAAGAAAACCTGTTTTTCCTATTAAGCCCACCAATACTACTTGGCTTTTTAAGATACTTCATCTATTATTCTGATTTAAGAAACTAATTTAAAATAAAATGTGTAGTGATTTATTTTTAGCACTATTTCATTTGTTAGAGGGTCTGCTTTCTTTTGAACTGTCTGCTTAGTTTTGAAACCTTGAGATTTCTCCTTATCTCAGAGTTCCCATTTCTTTAATGCTATATTGTAGTCTGCACACAGGGTAAGGATTAAATATAGCCAGGCTGCATTCATCTCTGTCATTCATTTAAGCCCTACGCGGGCTGAAGAGTTCATCCAAAGACCACCAAGGGCCAGGGCATGGAGAACCTGCCAAACTTACCTTTTACAACCATTTGCTTCAAGAGAGGTCCACAGAGCTGTGACAGCAAGGAATTAGGACTGCCACCTAGGGGATGGGGTGGTAGAAACCTGACTTTGTCACCATTTTTAAATGTAGGGAAGGTGGCGTCTAGCTGTTTGGGTTGTGCTGGTGACCCAGTGCAGAAGCAGACTTCCAACAGCGTGTAAGGAATAAAAGTAGAGACGGGTGATTTCCTGGCCCTGACAAGAGTAACCCAGGACAGCTAAAGAATCTTGCTCTTCCTAACACAGTCAGCTTCTAATTCCTGCAGGATTTGAGGGGTGAACTTTACAGCCTTTTCACAGCCGTCCCAAGTCCATTTTGTTAAAAGAAGTCTCCCTGCAAGGGCCACACAGTACCCCTGTCTAAGTCCCACCTTTGCACTGGAGGCCAGCCATCCACGCAGTGCAGCCCCGACTTGTCCAGGACCTCTGCACAGAACTGACAGGTCATCGGGTTGGCAGAGTTTGCCAATTAGAGGGACAACTTGCTCCTCGGACCCTCCAGTTGCTTGCTTGGTTTTCTCTTTGGTGATGTCTCATGGGAACAGATGTTGCAACCCAATGCCGTAGACCATGAGCTGACGTGGTCCTGGAGATCCTCCCCAGTCTCTACTGAACTTATTATTTTTAGCCTCACTGGGGTAAACCAGAGCCTTTCCTGAAGGCAGGTTTTGCAGGTTGTGAGGAGACAGAGCTCATGGCAGCAGGGAGGGATGACAGGATGTTGGTGGTGGGTTTGGGGAAGAAAGGGCCTGAAGAGGAAGGTGGCAGCTTCCAAGACGTTCTGCTCAGCCTTTTTCCTGCAGGGCTGCCTCTTATTGAGAGCAGGTATTCAGTGTCACCTGGCTCCCTGAACTGGCTTGGGTTGAAAGGGACTACTTTTAAAGTCCCCTCACTCATCTGTGATAACACAGCTGCTGGAAGCACTTTTTTTTTTCCAGCCAAATTCAGCAGGGCCTACAGCCCTACCTAGGAAAGTAGAGGCAGGGCAGGCACTCCTCTGCCTGAAACCTTGAAACCTGAGGCGCACCCCAAGACTTCAGCACCTGCAAGAGTAGGCATAGTGGCCTGTGCCTCATGTTTCCTGCCCAGATGGAACACAGTTGTCCCGTTCTTCCCCCACTCCAGTCTCTTAAGAACCGTAATATGTTCTCAAGCACAACAGTCTCAATGGAAAAGTAAAGATTCTTCCTTTAAAAGAAGAAGGGGGAAATTGTGTCAGATTTTCCTGGCCAACTCTACTTTCCAAATTTATCAGATCAAAATGAACTCCTATCAGCTGCTGCTTCCTTGGTCTCTCTGAAATCACATGCTTTAAACACATGGCCCCTTTTGGTGGGCACCTGGCTGCAGTGCCTCTGTCCTCCCGGGTTACTGTCATGCTCCCTTTGTTTCCCTGGATGATTTAAGTAACAGCAAAATTCAGCCACTGCCAGCTCTTAAGACACTGCTGGCTGCAGGCCTCCTTCTCCCTCAAAACCCAGGCTGCTGTGACAACTTAGTTCACAGTGACTTCTTAGCAACCCCAGCCAGTTGTCGAGTAATGTGTTAGCTTGGAACTCTGGGAAAAGGCCCCATTTTTAGCACTGGCATTGAGAGGATTCCGAGGGTCACCTGCAGGGTCACAGCAGCTCTCCTCCTTGGTTCTGTCCTCCAGGGTTGGGATGGGAGGAGGCTGTGCCTCCGTTCTGGTCTTTATCACTTTTTTGCTGCCTGTGAGACTGACTAGAACGCATTCTTGAGAGCTGTGTCACAACAAGTCCCGTAAATGATTCACACTGAAATGACCTTTAAAGCTGGGTTTCAGGAGCCCAGAGCTACGAGGACGCCAACACCCAGGGCTCTGTGTCCTTTCCTTTAAACTTGAGCTCACGGGTACTTGGCTGGTCCAGGTCCTGGTCATGTGATCTGATGACATCAATCACCAAGCGAATGCCAGCAATATTGTCATTTAAAGCTTGGGGTCTGTGATAGAATTGAACTTGGGAAAATGAAGATTAGGCCAAAAGCCACCTGGAAGGGTGGGAGGAAGGAGGAGGTCCTAGAAAAGGAAACGTCACTTTCACTCTGTACTATTTGCTTAAAAAGTGTTTTTCTGTTCTCTATGTGCTTATAGCATTGTATGTCACCAACAGGAATCAAATTAGTCCAAGACACAATGCATCCTCAGCTACCGAGAGCAAAATATCTCAAAGTGCGTTACTCACTGCTTTATGGGTCGTTAGCACCATGGTTTGAACCACAAAGAAGTTTCTTGTTGCTTTTTAAAGAGTGGCTTTAAAATGTTCTCTTTCCCTATTCCCAGAAATAAGAATGACCCTCCCGACCGTCCAATCCTGTCGTCCCTCTCCGTTCTTTTCTGCTACCACCAAGGGACAGTAGTGAAAGGGTCATTTTTCATCACTGTGACGAGGATTCCAAGGGTTGTTCTCATGTGCATCCACAACACTGTGAAAGGGAAGGTAAGGCAGTCCTAATGCAGAGCGGTTAACAGCTGAAAACTCCAGCAGGTCCCAGGACCTGAGTGTGACTGGTGGGGTGGCCATTCAGAGGTCCCCACCTTCCCCAGCAGACCTTATTCCCAGGCTCTGTTTTGTGCCTGGTCTTGGGTTTTCTCCAAGAAGGGGAGGTAGAGGGAGCTGGGGAGGGAGTGCCTCTGAATTAGCTAGGTTGCCTTCTAATCAAAATGCAAAACAAGTGGGCCAAATTCTGAAGGTAAAATTTAAACCAGAGTCTGTGTCTCTTGTTCATGCATTTTTTTAAGGTAGGAAAGTGCATTGTGAGACAGGAATGATAGTCGTTGCTGTGTTAGTGCTGACATGCTCCCAGCCCACTCCTTCCCCGTGGCGTGGGTGAGGAGGCGCGGGAGGAGGGGGAGTCAGAGTGAGCGTGTGCAAGTGTGCACACGCCTGAAAGCGAGAATGGGCAAGCTGACCCACATCCCAGCTCAAGGGACAGAAAACTGTAGGGCTTTTGTGCTGAGAGCCGTCCCCTCCCGGGTTTTATTTCCATGGCCATTTGGTTATAAATGCCAGCGGGAACTCGAACACCAGGAAAACAGCTGTTCTCGTGGTGTTTCTAGCTGCTCACAAGGGGTGGTTGGCCTTTGCCCAAGTTTTCTGTTCTCACACATTGTGAAACTCCCAGCCCCACCTCAAGGGTCGTGCCTGGTCTGCACGTCACAAACCTACCTGAGCCTAAGACTTCAGGTATGGCTGTGTGTCCTTAGTAAGGTAGGAAATTTCACACACGGGTTCATATTATAGTTCAGAATTTATTTTGTTTGCTCTTTTAAATAGAGATCTGAGTTGTTGACATTTTTCAATTGGTAATCAAGATACAAGGTTAACGTATCAACTAGAACAATGCATTGAATTTCACGTAAAACCATCTGGCTTCTCCGTGGTGAAACACACGCTTTGAGGGATTGCTTTGGTTATAGGAATGTTTTTCCATGTTTGTATTTAAAGTCCTGCCTGGCTACATTGCAGGGATTGGAAGATAGGTTTCCACCCTTCCAGGGCAAATCGAGCTACTACTTCTGGCTCCTGCATTTTGGAATTAATCCCTCAATCTTAAGGAACCTGAGGAGGAACTTTCTTTTTTTTTTTTTTTCTTTTGGCAGTACCAGGGTTTAAACCCGGCTTTGAGTTTGCTAGGCAGGTGTTCTTCCACTTGAGCCATACCGTCAGCCTGGGAAGGATTTCTTGAAAACTAGTAGTCTTTTATTTTAGACACATTCATGTATTTTTACATATACACACATACACAAGTGAATATATATTCTGTTTACATATTCTATGTATTTGCATAAATCTAGGTTCCTGTGGGAATTGCTAAGGCATATGCACCATTTATGTGAATGGTGATTTCACCTATTTCTATATGTATTAGTGATAGACAATCAAAGCTAAATGAGCAACTGTGAGCTTGCTATCTCCCCTCAAAAGAGGCACCCTAACCTCCTCGGGGAAAGTCTTCCAGAAAACTAAACAAGAACTTGGTGGAAGACTCCAGGTCTCTCTGACCGAGGTCTGAAAGATCCCAGGATGACCAAGGCAGCCATACTCCCTTCTAGTGAGGTCACTCTTGGGAAACACGTTCTTTTTTAGGTTAAAGAACAAAACAAAACAACCCAGGTCTTCTAGTGCCGTCTACAGCAGATAAGCTTTGTCCAGCTACCAAGAGCTCTCTCCTGCCTTAAATCAGTTCAATTTGCAACCCCCACGGGGCCAGAAAGTGTCAGATCAAGTTTCATGCCACTGAATTAACACTGCAACAAGAAAAATGTCCATATAAGGCTGAGTTACTCCTGGGGTCCTCCTGGGAGGCTATTTCAGGACTGTGAGCTGGGGTCTATTTTTTACTCTGGGCCGTGGGTAGGACATGGTGAGCTACCCCTCCCCACAGGGTTTGATTCAATTACTCATGTTTCAGTTATGCTCAAATTCAAGTTATATTTCAAAAGCCTGAATTATCCCTTGGAATTTAGTCCTTCAAGTCTCATAAAGGATTAATTTCCCCCAAAGTTAAACTTGATTCTTTATTTATGTGGACACATAACTAATATCTACAATATGTTGTTTGGGTTTTTTTTTTTTTTTTGTCTGTGGGAGGTGAACTTTTCATGGACAAAAACTCTGGGTTCAGAAAGCAAAGTGTTCCAGGAATGGTGATTCATCCCTGTAAGCCCAGCATTCAGGAGGCTGAGGCAGAGGATCAGATAACAAGACCCTGTCTCAAAAAAACAAAAAATAAAATAAATTTTAAAAGCACAAGTGTACCATTTGAGACACTTAGGAGCCAATGGAGAGGGAAATGAGATTCTTTCTGCTAGAACCCGAAGGTGTACTTTTTCTTTCTTACTTATATGGATTAATCCATTTCCCTTTCTGTTGGTGTTCTCAGCAACCGTAAGAGTTTAGCCCACCAGAGAAACCTAGCTCATTGGGAATGAAGTAGTTAGCAGTGTGCATGAAACAGAGCTTCTCCCATACTGGATTAGGGCTGCCCAGTGCGTCAGTCTGCAAGTGGAAACAGGGTCTCCCCAGAAGGAAGGTATCTGCTGACCGTCTCTGTGTTGTCTCTCACTCTGCTCCTGCGACTCCTGTGGTGTGGACCTGATCCCAGCAGCACAGTGCATGGTCGAGGGATGCATCCAAATGCTGCTATTGCGGCTTTTGGTGCCTTGGGAAATGCCTGCTCCATCTCAACCAGGTATGCATCCTCCTACCCCTTGCCCCAGGAAGATCCAAGGGTGGCTTCTATGTCTTAGCTCAAGGATTGGCAGACTCATAATTCTCTGTGGAACCCACTCAATTCTGCCATCATAGCAGGAAGCAGCCGAAGAGAAAATGTGAAGGAGTGAGCGTGGCTGTGTTCCTATAAAACTTTATTGATGGTAGCTGAATCTCATATGGTTGCACGTATTAAGAAATTCTCTTCTTTTGAATCTTTTCTGTCATTAAAATCATAAAACTCTTTCTTAGTGATAGCCAAAGGAAAGGAGGCCATCTGATGGATGGATGGTCCCCTCTGTGGTCTGCAACCCCTTACCTGGTAACCTTAGACTGTTAAACCTACTCTTCACATTCTGAAAAACATGTGCTTCTAGTTTCCAAAATAAAAGGGGAAGAAACATTAGAGGCCCTGGTCTAAAGAATATTCATCTGCTAAGAGCTGATTTTCAGTGTCTTCAAGAACTATAATTTTCCTGAACTAGGAAAAGAATTGCCTCCATAATTTTTCTGTATTTCACCAGCCTTTCCCTCTCAAGCTATAAATATCCCACTGAAAATCATTGAAAAATGATATCCTGCAATTGTTTAAACTTCAGATTTTTTTTCTCTCCTGACTCTCTCAAATTGATGGAAATTTAAATATCAGTTTTTTTCTAGTAGATGGTTCAGGAAAGTTGAATTCACAATGCAGTGTTTTTGAAAGTCAGCAAGCTGTTTTATAATTAAAATGTTCTCAGAAATCTCACTTGGAAAAGTACCTCTTATTACAGCCCATTTTCCTAATAAATGTACCGTTAGAAGGAAAGGGACTAATTAGAACATCCATGTTTAATGTCTTATAAGAGGTACTTAGAATACCTTTCATTATTCAGGAAAAGTGTAGCCTTCTTACAGTACAGCTCTATTTTTAAGGCTCTTCCTAAGAATCTTGGACTATATTTTAGAGTGGTTTTGGTTTTCTTTTGGCTCCCCCACAAACCAGCCTATAAAATACAATCAAGTACAAGAGCATTTTTCAGAATGGTGGGTCACGTAGCAAGTCAGGCTTGTGTCCAGCATGGAGGGCTCCAGGCAAAAGCATGGATGGAGTAAGGGAGATAGTGGGATTTACTAAGGGTCAAGGCAAGGAGTGGTGAGTCAGGTGGAAGGGAAAGGGCAGACACAGAGAGCTCCCCTGCTTTGAGACATTTGTGACAGCCTGAGGGAGGAGTCCTGAGCCAGCTCCTGGGCACTCTGATCATAGGCATGGAGTGTCATCAACACCCATGCTTTTATCTGAGTGATAATGGAGGACAGATTTGCCCCCTGAGGTTTTTTTGTAGCATCGGGCTGAGATAAGGAGTTTAGTATGAAATGTGCTGAGAACAAGTTATTCTGACGAGTCCCATGGGCCATTTTCTAGCCTTCCTCAAGGCCAGATCTGTGGATAAACTCCTGAGGCAAGATGCCATGGTCTTCTCAGAGGCATCTGTGTGCATCTGAGCACCAATTTACTATATTATGATGTTTGAGATATACTACAAAAATACTTTGTATTTGCATGAAAAGCCAAGGCTAAGAAACTTATAGGTAGACTACAGAGAACAAAGGCATGGAGGCCATTGATACAAACATGTTGACCCTATGACCCTCCAAGGTTCCAGGCTGGAATTGCCATCCCTCTCGCTGTCTCATGGAATTTGGGTTCTTTCTGACTCCCCCTTTCACTCAGCATTTCAAACTGCCCCCATGGAAGCCTAGTGTCTCCTTGTGGCTATGACAATCATTGCCACATCAGGAGGGAAAGAAATGAGTGAGGAGGGAAAGAGTAGGCTCCGGTCCATCCAGCCCACCTTGCCCTGCCTCTCAACCAAAGGGTTCCTTCTTATGAGTTTTGGGATGGGAGTCTACTGAAGGTCATTTGACCATAGGACTGTGTTGCTGTTAAACACATTTGAAAACCATGCTGTCTTCACTTTTGTTTTTCTGCTCTGTTATGAGCAGAAAATATGTCCTACTTTCTGCCTTCTGAGATTTCACCTCCTTGCATTAACTCAGGTCCTTTTCCCTCAGGACTTCAAAGTGCTTCCAGGGTCATAAGTGGAGTCAGTGTTAACCACATTATAATCACTATGGTAAAGGTGATGAATCCTTGTAACAGACATACAGTGGAACTCGTTGTCCTTGAATCCTACAAAGGCTAAGCCATTTTGATCCAGCTTCTGTTGTGAATCAGTGGTGCAAACAGGGACAGGTCTTTGGGACTCTGATTATGGTGTCTGTGGCCTCCACTGGCATCTTTCCCTCGGGGTGACTCCTACAGGATTGGGTAATGCCTCTGATGTGAGTGCTGCCAAGACGCCTGAGGTTTAAAGGATTGAGAAAGCAAGGAAGTAAATTCAGGGAGAGAGATGATGAGTGTAACAGGGGAATCAGAGCCTTGCTGAGCTCATCTGGCAGTAGACAAAGGAAAGTGAGCTCTGAGTGAGGGAAGGAATGTAGATGGGCCTTCTGAGAAATGGCCTGGCCCTGGACTGGGTTACTAGGGGAGTTTTTGGCATCTCTGTGTCTGGAAATCAGATGGAAAGGAGCTGAAGCCTGCTTTATTTTCCTTGGGAGCAGAGGATGCTGCAAGAGGGCAGGAAGCCCTACTCTCGTCAGCACCATCACTTCATAAAGGCCTCACCCATCTCTGGCAAGTCCTGGGAGGGAGGCAGGTGGCAGTGTTTTGTAGACACCCAGCCTAAGGCTTTGTCCTTCACTTGCAGAATGGGGATGAAACTCTTTATAGCATTATTTCTTTTACTTCTCTCTACATCATTAATCTCAAATGTGTATATAACTTTTAAAAAGTGGGTGTCAAACATCCCCATGCAACAATCATTTGCTTATTTTTGCTGTATGCAACCAGGGGACAATGAGGATTCAAAGTTAGTTAAAGTGTATGCCAGACCATCAAAGAGTTTGCAAGCTCACTGGGGAGGCATATGCATGAGACCCGTGTGTAACAGTACAGGAAAGTGCATCTTTGAGTGCTGGAATAGACCTGCAGAAGTTCAGAAATGGACGATCTTGGTAACCAAAACAGGTCATTGACTCAAAACTTAGGGAAAATTCCTAGAAGAGATGGGGCCTGAGGATATAGCACCCACTGGAGATCACTAGCTAATAAATAAGAACCAGGCTGGCAGTGGGCTGTAGGCACTCAACTCTCAGTTGCAGGCTAAGCCCTTTCCCTATGTAGGGAAGGACTGCCACCTTACAGACAAGCTTACAGAAGACCCCCAGTGAGTGGAGAATGAGGAGTTAAACCCAAGTCCATGTTGCCTCCAGGACCCACCCTTAACCACTATGTACCTTCACCAGCTGGAGGACTCAGGGTCCACCTGAGTCAGAGAAGCAAGCTTGCTGGCAGAGCATCCTTGTTAGTTAGCTGACTTGTGGGGGACAGGAAAGGTGGAGGACAGCCATTAAAGGCAGAAAAGTATGAATCATGCCATTACAGGTCTGAGTGGTCTGACCTTGCCTCCTCTCCTCTGTCACGTCGGTTACACAGGCATGAGGGAATCTGGGCTCATCTCAGAGAATATTTGGTCCTGCAGCACTTGCAGCTACCCTGCCTTTTCCCAACTCCTTCAAGGGACCTGCCTGTGAAGTCCCCATTCAGTCAGCCAGAGGTCCTCCCCTTTTTGTCTCTTAAGGTGTTCACACACAGTTCCTCCTAGAAATGCCATGCTGCGTCTGTCCCAGTTGTGACAGTGGTTTTAGATCAGTGTTCCTCCAAATCTTAAAACTGATCTGAGAGGTCCAAAAACTCTTTGTTTTTTCCATTTTGTATAGACAAATAGCAGTCTTCCACAGATTTTCATGTTTGTGTACAGTGAGGGGTACTTACCAATCAATGGAGGAGATCATGTGCTATGGAAGTTTACTGAAATGTGCTCTTTTTGAACCAAGCTGGTGCATTACTTAGCTTCCTGAGAACTCAGGTTCACTGTTCTGTCAAAACATCTAGCTGTCAAGGCAGTGCTGACCACCCTGCAGGTCTGGGGATGGACACAGCAGAGAGTTGGGATTTTCCAGATTGGGATGAGAACCCTTTGGTAGAGTCATCCTTGCCTTGGCGCCATGACACTTCTGTTGAGTGGTTCTTGGTTAATTCACACACGCGCACACACGCACACACACACACACACACACAATCACTTTAAGCATCAGCTTCCTTTCCAGTCCTTTCTTCTTTTTCCAGTGGAATCGGGAGTAGGTAGAAAGTGAGCTATGGGCTAATGTCAAAAAGTTTGAGAACCACCATTTCTATGGGGTTTCCCTGGAGGTGCTTAGAGGCAGATAACGCCTTAGTCAGGTGTAGTGGCCTCTTCCTTCTTTGTGTAACTTGGGCGAGTCACTCAACTTTAGTGAGCTTCTGCAGGTTGAGGGGCTGTGTGAAGTAACCTCCAAGGTCCCCATGAAGCTTTCTGGCCCTTGTGGGGGACATAGCCCAGAGCTGGGGCATACAGAGCCCACCTGCCCCATCTGTGGGAAGGTGCGGGGGGTGGGGAGATGAGGGAGGGTTTGAGCTGTTTGTCTTCCTGTCCGGATACAACATGAGAGGGTCACCCTGGAATCACAACGATGGTTTTCATTTCTCTGCTCCTGAGGCTCCAGAGTCTCCTAGAGTCACCTACGAGGGGACAAAGAGGATCCATCTGTCTGTCTGTACCACTTGGAGTGATTCTGCCAGTAAAACACATACCTGGCAATGAGATTTGAGGGAAAGGCCAGGCCCCTGGGTCATTCTCAGCAGTGGGACAGTGGCTTTGTGGGCAGTGACACAGGATGACCATGCCTAGGACTTAGTGGAGAGAACAGGCTGACAGGTGCACCTGATGTGCCCAGAGGGCATGCCACCTCTTTCCTCTGGCATCCATCTAGATGTGGGCTACTCGTCACCTCTTGCCATCGATGTGGAAATGCAGTGACTCCCTGTCTTCCTCACAA